CAGACTCTACCATTGTGTGAGTAACAGGGCTGACGTGGTGCCTCCCTCAGCACTCCCCCGGTGCTGGCACACGAGGGGGCTTGCTTGTTCTCCTGGCTGTCACTGGTGCACTGGGGACGATCCTGGCGTGGGCCTTGTACAGCCTCATTGTCCTCTGTGCAAATGGTTTAGCATTTTAATTCCCAGGGAGGTGCCATTTCACTATAGATTGTGGCCGTGACTGATAGCGATAGGATAGAGGTCACTGGATCCAGATGGTTCATGGGCAACGCAGAAGCAAAAGTTATTTTGCTGAAGTCCATTCTTCTGCTGGGGCAGGAGAGGAAAATGAGGATCTCATGCTGGGTTTTCCTGTCCCTCCTCCTGAGCAGCAGGTCTGAAATGCATCGGGGAGCAGGGGCTGCAGTGATGTCCATGGAGGCACGGCAGGAAGGTTAGTGCCCTCATTCTGCAGGGCAGGGAGCAGGGCTCTCGGCGCCTTGGAGTGGCGGGTGGGCGATGTGAGGGATGCAGCCCCGGCGGGAGCAGAGGGGCCGTTGCTCAGCCGGGCGGGTTAGCAAAGAGCTGCCGCCTTCAGCTCCAGCGCCAGCGAGGCCCGGGGACGGCAGGGCCAGAGGAGAGGGTCCCTAAGAGGAACCAGTGCTGGGAGCGATGGAGGAAGGTGAGCAGCTGGTCCCAGGGAGGTGCGTTGCGGTGGGGGTCTGCTCTGCGTGTCGCTGCCTCTGGCTGCCTGCTTGCTTGTTGCAGCAGGTCCTGTGCAGATCGAAGCCCGATGGACACTATCCCTGGTCCACAGGTTGTGGTCATCTGCTTGTGGGAGGCTTCGCCAGATGAGCAGGCAAAACTATTTGCCACGCTGGGAGAAAACCACCTTTAATCTCTATTTTCTTCCCTCGTCCTTTGCCAGTGCAGAGGCAGAGTGCTCTGGCAAGCAGCAGGTCTGGGCTGCGTTTGCTGTAGGAGCCTTTTGTGGCTGTGCCCCCAGTTTTATACCGGTGCAAGCTTTTAGCACCGGTGCAAGCTTTTAGCACCGGTGCAAGCAGCCCTGTGTTTCAGTTTCCCAGCCAGCCTGCTCGGCTCTCCTTGCCTGGTCACTGCAGGGCTGACCCGCCGGGCTTGCCTCGTCAGCCGCTCCCTGTGGCTGCAGATGAATTGCACGAAGCCTGCCTTTCTTTTAATCCCATTTCCCAGCAGTGCCGAGCGTGCCGGAGGAGCAGGCGGGGGAGCCCGAGGAAAGGGGCTGCTGGTTGTCTGGGAGACCCGGGGACAACGAGGCGGGAGCAGGCTGTGTGCAGCGGTGGGTTATGCGGCGCCTTCGGGATCTGCAGGAGGAACCGGCAGCTGGCACGGGAACGTCCTTGGAGATCTGGTGGAAGTCCCTGCACGACCTTGGCATCCTCACCCCAACCTCTTTAGCACGCTAAGAAAGATCGAGAGACTCCTCCAGGTAGAGGACAGTTCAAGCAGCCATTGCTAGATGCCGCCTGCAGAGCACAGGCAGACACACAGCAGATGTTGTTTGCGAGAAAGACAAGCTTCACTCTTTTTTGAATGCTAGCTATCTGTGTACCTATCTGTTTTGGAAATAACCAGGGATTGGTTTTATTTTAAATAAAGAAGGTCACCTAGCAGCATGGCTCCCAGCCTCTGCTGTGAGTCACCTTTGCTGACTTGGACCAAGAGAAGTTCCTACCCTTGCTGGCGTGGAGGGGCTGAGAAGGCCTTGGGTGAGCAAGCAGTATTTCCCTGACGTTAGCAGCAGCAGCAGCATTAAGCCATTTCTTGCTCCAAGGCTGGATTCTGTCTTTTATCGCTCCAGCACAAAAGGTTCAGTTATATTTGGAACAGTTCCTGACGGCGGGACGATGTTGCTGTACCTGAAGATAGAGTTTGTGGTGATAAAGCAAGGAAACGCAGTGCCAAGTTTACGGAGCTGGCGGCTAAAATTGGAGACTGGATCAGAGGTCGTCTTTAAGGAGGGAAAGGGATGCGGCTGAGGTCTCACCCGTGCTCCACCGGTGATGGCCCCTGCAAACACCCTCGTCTCTTCTGGCAGGGGGACCAGGCTCTGCTAGAGCAGGAGAGCAGAAGCACGTATGGTTCTTGCAGGGGAAGCTCTGCTCGTCTACTGTGACCTCTCTGGGGTGTGTTGCTCACTTTGCCCTTTCTGTAAGTTGGGGTGTTTTCATGATGTGACATGGATTGGCCTTACCCCATGTCAGGCTTTCTTTAGCACCAGAAAAGGAAAATTCTCTTTATTCAGGAAAAACCAAGCAGATTTCTCAATATTGCTCTGAACACCTGCTGAAACAGGGAACTTGAGGGCAGCTGGGACCCAGGCTTTTGCCATCCCTCCTGGCAGCCCAGGCTCAGGCTCTGTCAATGGGAGGGGAGCAAACCCTGCCGCTAATTTAGGGTTAACCCATGAGTCCAGTTCAAGCTGAAATGTGGTTAGCCGCACTCTCTCTCGATGTCCCTGCCACCTGCAGCCAACTATATGGGTCTTTGTTTCTTCAGCCTTGTGTCACTGTATGCTTTTCAGCATGCGCCATGTTCCAGCCCAGAAACAGCTGGGTTTTGGGTATCAGCAGGGTCTTGTGCATCCAACTTGTGAACTGCTTTGGGCCAACAAGTCCCATGGGATCCTTACTGTCTTGCAGGGATTTAATTCACTTTTGGTAGCTTCTGAATCACCTCTGCAAAGATCCTTTCATTGCACTGCTTGTTCCCTATGTGCTTCTGAGTTCAATGTTTTAACATTTTGAGGTTATTTTGTTCGAGGATTGCTTAACCTTAGTCTCCCTGTGCTAGGAGGGAGCTGTGACTCCAGTCTGTTGGATCCTGGTTTCCTACCTCTGGGGAGATGCACAACTCTTCCTTTAATGAGACAGGTCATTTGGTAAGGCATGGCTCTGCGTGTCCTACCCCCACATACTTGTGTGCATTGCCTGCTTTTTACAGCATGAAATAACAGGGAGTTTCCCTGACTCACTGACTTGGAAGATCGGCAGCGTGGCTGAGCTTTCACTTGCGTTTCCTAACTCTGAGCGTTAGAAATATCTTGGGGAGGAGCTGGTGAACTTTTGAGCTCAGTGGCTGCAGATGCTCTTTGACCGGGGATGCCCAGAACTGCATCGCCGGTCCCCGGTCAAAGAGCATCTCCATCCCTCAGGGCAGGGATGAGAAAAGCCCATAAATTCAGGAGAAAGGCTGGATCAGTTTTCTGTGTCTCCCTGAGTCGGATCTCCTTCAGGAAGCTGCTTTTGATTTATATCCATGCTTCCTTCTTCAGTCTCTCCTGAGACAAGCCCTGACCATGCTTGTTAGACAGTCTAAGTACATCATAAACATATAATACTTCTTTATGCATCGCAGGTCCGTTTTAGAGCTCCTGTGCTGCCAGGGTGACGGGCTTTGCTGGTGGAATGGGTTGGCTTCTGCATGGTTTAAGCTTAGGTGAGCACTGAAAGTGGTGAGGTTTCACTGGGGAGAGCTTGCAAAGGGTGCAGATGGGGAGCTTGAAGTAGAGCCAATATTTGATGATCTGCTTGTTCACTTAATCAGTTTTGCAATAACAAACAAGTCGCAAAAAGAGAATATTGACGAGAAAAGCTTGCTTTTAAATGTCAGGATTATGTTACTTTTTAGTGTCCTTCTCTGTGCAGCAAGAGGGGTGCAGCCCACACTTTCATCCACAAGGATGAAAATGAGAGCAGTTTTAAATAATGTTGTTTATTTTAAATTTATTTTCCTTTTTTTTTCTTTTGCTTTGGAAATCTGATTTGTTTTGGGCAGTGAGAGGGATTAACGGCTGAAACACTGGCTTGTTTCTTGCCAGTTGAAAGGCTGGACTTTCATTCTAAGCTGTCACCCCCAGTGCTTTTGTTACAAACCCTGCAGAGCCACTGTTTTTTGGCATTTACACCCCCAAATATACCTTGCAACATTCCTGTTGCTTCTGAGAGAGTGACTCCTATCTGAATACATGTTTCTGACAGCTGCTGTTCCTCTGGCAACACTGTCAAATGGCTTGAGGGGGGATCTCAGTCGTCCAATGCTTCCTTCCCCAAAGTTGCTTTTGCATAGGCAAATGACGTTACCCCTCTGCACCGTCACTCCTGCTTTACGGAGGATAATGGTGATTCCTTGCTGTACGCAGGACAGCCGAGGGGGTTGATATCGATGACAAATGCTGTGCAAGCTCTAGAGTACAACTGCAGTTTGCAGTTTGCTAATCTCTGTCTAGAATGTGATGAACGCTTTTGCAAGAAAGTCAGCTTGCACCTACAGCAGCTCTGGGGCCAGAGAGCAGCCGTACAGGTGGAGATGCAGATGAATAGTTGCCGAACTCGGAGTGGAGCACTTCTGCACCCTGACTGTGCTGGAGTGCTCGGTGCGGGGAGTGCCGCTCTCTGCAAATGCAGGTGCAGCACAGCCAGTGTCTGCTAGGTGTGGTGGACATTGTGCCGTTGCCTTACAGGTGCTGTGCTCCTGATGTGCTGCTGCTCTCAGCCATCTCTGATAGAGCATGTGAATGAAGCAAGCAAGAGGCTGGCTGGAAAGATGTCCTCCAGCTTTGTTGGCCCATACTAAGCAAGTGGTATATTGCAGGAGCCATCAGTCTTTGTTCTGGCTGCCTCCTGAGACCACATTGGTGGTGGCTACCAGTCATCACAAGCATCATTACAATAGTGCCTCTTGTCCACAAACCATGCACAGGAGACCACAGAAAAGTGTAAAGTCCTTTAGCTCACCTTTGCTAGCTTCTGGACCACTGAAGGTTTCAGCCTGACCAGAGTCTCCTTGGAGAGAGTGCAATACCATGGTCCTGTTGTGAAGCTCTTCTTGCTGTATATCTGATGCGACTTGCTGTGTTCCTTTGCAGGAAGGAGCATTGGAAGCTGCTAGGCAACCTGAAGACCACAGTGGAAGGCTTGGTGTCTACCAGCAACCCGAACGTCTGGTCCAAGTATGGCGGCTTGGAACGGCTCTGCAGAGACATGCACAGCATCCTCTACCACGGGCTCATCCACGACAAGGTAGGGCTCTGTCCTGCCAGCACTGCTGTCTGTCTGTAGCGGCTTTGGTGCCTGTCATGAGCAGGTGGGACAGTCCTGTCGGCTTGCAGCTTGCTTCAGTGTTCGTAGCACGGAGTGGGTACAACGCTTGTAGCAGTGTGGGAAATGACTGAAGCAGGGACTGAGCTTGCCTGGCAAGTGCTGTGGTTGTCAAAGGGACCTGGGTGCGTGTTCTTTCTATCTCATCCACCTTCGACGTGGTTTTTCTAAGTACCTGTGCCCTCTGCAGTGAGGCCAGCCCCTCTCTCCTTTCATTCTGCTGCAGCCAAGTGATAAAGCTGCATTTGCAATGAATCAGCCCTGTATCATTTGAACTTGGACAGCTTTCCAGCGAGGTCTGGCAAGAGAAGCCTCACATCTTTACTGTTTCTGGTTAGCTGTGTTAATAACAGGAGCTGGCAGCCAAATCCACACTCTGCGTGAATGGGATCTCTCTTTCCAAGCTCTCGTCGTGCCTTGCAGTGGCTCACCCAGACGTTCTTCCTTCCGTGGCTGCCTGGAAGAATTTCTCCTTCCCGCTTGTGTGCAGAGGCCTGAAGATCTCCCCTTCAGCTTGCAATTACCACTACAATTAATTTACAATGGAAAGTTGAAGCAAGTCTGCAAGGCATGCCTGGGGGCAGGCTTCCCGTCGCGACTCTGCCACCCAGACAGCGATGCAGAGAAGCGAGCGATGGGGAGAAGCAAGCGATGCAGAGGAGCCCCAGGCAGCTTGCACGGGCCAGCTGGGTCCAGGAGCAGGAAATCTGCACCTATGCAATGCTGCACCCGAGCTAATAAGCCTCCAGGGAGAGTGAGGCTGGCAGCTCACCCCAGCAGGGTGCTTTGATCCCTGGATGTATTAGCTGCAGTCAGCACTTGTTGCGGTGCTGCTCTGTTCCCGTTAGTCCCCAGTGGTGCGGGCCAGGGACCTTTGGGAGATCCGCAAAGAGAGAAGTTACCTTTTACATGTGAGGAGTGCAGTGCTCCGTTCTGATAGACGTGCTGTTAACAGGCTTCAGGAAGTGAGACTTAAATTATTTATATACGTCTGTCTATTGGTAACAGTTCATGCCAGACCTGCAAAGCAGGATGGTGTGTTGCCTTCCTCAATGCTTTTACTGTAGGCAAAGGCAGCTCTTTTACTTAGAAATGTCTCCCCTGCTTGGGCACGTGTGACACCAATCAAGCTGTGGGAGCTGCAAAGGGAGGCCCATAAGAATACAGCTTACTAACAGCCGTTTTCTCATACTTGCTCCAGCGAAACACTTCCTTTTACTTATTATTTTCTTACAACTTTTTTCCTACAACTGGGAATAAATAAAAAAAAGCTAAAAAAATCCATATGTACATGTTAAGAGAACTAGGGTAAGAGGTTTTTAAACTTTTGAATGAATTTTATTTATTTGTCCAGAAAACCCTAGTTCAATCTCAAGAACTAAAATGCCATGTTAGTTCTCTAATCTTAAAAAACCAAACCAACCGCCCCCAAACAAATAAAACAGAACCCCTTCCTCTGACACTTGTGAAAGAGGAAATAGAGATGGAAGAAAAAATAATCAGCCTTTTGGTGAAGAGAGACATTTTGGGGCTGTGTTTACACCCGATAGGGTGGTGGTGAGAACAGCAACTCTGCTGCAGTTCCTCTTTAATGGGAAGAATAACTAAGTACAAAATGACTCGTCTGAATAAAGCTGAGGCAAACAGCAGCAAAGAGCTGATAGAAATGCGACGCCAAATTTCTTACCTGGGGTGCTCAGCCGTGCTGGTGCCCTTGGTGGTGGCTTGCATCAGAAGACAGCAAAAAAATGGTGGTTTTGCTGGGATGTGTTTCCATGTTGCCCTTTGTGTCCCCTCACCGAGGCCTCAGGACTCTCCTCCAGGTCCCGCTCTGGCAGAAAGGGGAACGGTGATGTGGGAACTTGGTCAACCTTGAACTTGGCAGACCTGCAGTTGGCCTTTAGGATCCTTACTGCACTGCAGGGATGTGAGCCCTTCGGTGCCACGTCCTGTCCCTGTCCCATGACCTCTCCACGGTATGAGGGACTGGGATCTTATCTTGTGGAAGAAGAGAAGCTCGGGGGATCTGTTGTCTGGTCACTTGTGGGCTCACCACAACTGAGAGGGGCAGGAGACAACTTACCTACATCAAGCCAGTGTTTTTTGACTCGATCCCTCGATCTTCAAAACTGTGTTACACGCTTGCCTTGTTTCTCCTTTGTAAAGCAGTGCTGCTCTTCCTCTGTCTATTTTCTGGCCCATCTTGCCAGGGTTAGGGGCTCTCCTCTCATGGTAGCATGGGGCTAACGGGGGATGTCGTCATTTAAGTGGGACGTGGGTGGTGGTATCTAACTGCGCCTCTCCCGGGCAGGTGTGCTGCAGACAGAAGGATTACTGGCAGTTTGTGAAGGACATTCGCTGGCTGAGTCCTGGCTCTGCTCATCACCTGGAGAAGGTGGGTTCTGGCGGGGTGGCCTTGTGTGCCCAGCGGGGAGGGGAGAGCCTCACCAGTGGGAGAGCGGCGCCTTGGCTGTTGGCCTGCCGTGGGTAAAGCGGCTCCATAGCTTGTGGAGGCTGAAGCAGC